AGCTGGCAGAAAGAACTATAAACTATGTTAGCTTCACTTAATGAGATGTCTACTGCCATCAATCATTCACTGATCTCAGAGTTTCCTGGCAAGGAGGTCACTAACAAATCAAATGACACAGTCCTAGTGGATGACAAAGAAAATTTTGAAGGCACTGCTGAGCAGAGACATCAAAACTGCTTAGTGCAACAGCAAACAATCTACAAAACTGAATTCTGAACTTCCTCAAGATACTTGGCCTGCCCTCTCACATCTTGAAATTAAAGGTTGGGTTTCCAATCACGATTCTGAGGTCCATGGATCCACCAAGGACATGCTATGGCACTAGATGCATGTTGACAAAGCTGTGCAAAAACATCATCTTTGCAAAAGTTTCAACTGGCCTATACCGTGGACATGAGGTATTTATTCCACAAATTCCACTTAGTCTTTCTGATTCTCCTTTCCCGTTCACTCTGAAGAGATTGCAATTTCCCATCAAACTTTGTTTTAGCATAACAATCAACAAGTCTCAAGGACAATCATTCAAAGGAGTTGGTGTTAACTCGTAAATGCTCCTTTCACTTATGCCCAACATTATGTTGCACTTTCTTGAGTTGGAACTTCAAAAGCTTTAACAATATTGACTCCAAATGGTAGAACAAAAAATGTCATTTTCCCAGAAATCCTGCAATAGCACATTAGAAAGCTGAAGTTGACAAAGCTTGGCTTAAGATAAAAAAGTAAAATTCTTGCCATCTCATTTAGTTTTAAAGTGCACACTTTTGAATTTATGTGCTGCACAAATGGAAATGACAATTATCCAGAAAGACAACAAAGCTGCCAGCCAAAAGTCTGTAACACTGAAAATCAAAGAAAATAACAGCACAAAACCAAAGTGTGCACATGAAAACAAAAATGAGATCTAAACATTTCATCACTCAGTAAAGAATCAAACATTGTCAACAGAAAGCTTTAATAAAATTTTCCATGTAAGCATTTAAAGTTCCAGCTGGATAACAATCATTAAAATATCTTTAAGTAACCAGTTAGGTACAGTAAATGAGGGCAGTGACTGACTGGGGATTGGGCAAAATTTGTTTGTATTTTCATTTCACTTTTCTTGATGCAATATAGTCAGTCACTTTATTTTCCCTTCCAGTAATCTTTAAAATCAAAACAGATTAAAGTAGATTTAATACAGATTTTCATGGAGTAACACACAATTTAAAATTAGCTTTTTAGACAAATCCAATCTTGGCTACCCAATGTTGCACCACCATTTCAGTGGGCAGTACAAGTAGGTCAGGACTTTGGCTCCAAGTGAAATCAAGAGTGCAACACAATTAACTTTTTTTAAAGTCCATGAAATAACTTAAATTGATAGATTAACTTAAACTTTTCCCATCATTGGGGATGGGTACTCTTGCTTGTAATGATATAAACGTACAAGAATGGAAAGACTGTACCAAAATAGTCAATGTGTTGAATACAGAATGTTTAAAGAAAAATTTACAATTCAAAATGATCTATTCTAACTGGATTACAAAGATAGATATAGTTTAATTAAATTGTAGGAATAATTTTTTTCCCAATCAAAAATAATAGATTTTCAATTGTTAATCATGAGGAATGATTATGTAATTTGTGTATTCAAAATGATGTACCTGATGAATTCCATTATTTACTTGATTGTCCTTATTTTATTGAGGACAGAAATGCATTCTTAGGTTTTAAAACCAAAAACTATGCTCATGTGTTAAATTTAAAAAGTGTCGTTAAGTGTAAGGATTCAAGTAAAATGAAAAAAACTTTCCAAATTTCTAAGTGTCATCTTGCAAAAATTTAGAGCAAAAAAATAATTCTGTTGTATCTGTTATTCAAACTACTAGAAGTTGTAACTTAAGTATGTCAAAAAAACTCAATTTACAAAAATGTTATCCTGTTATATAAATGTTATTATAACAGTGTCAAGACTAGTCACCATAAATGTTTTTTGTAAATTTCATTTTTTGCATGTTAATGTACTCTCATACCCTGAAAGGGGTCGTTAGAGAATAAATAAGCTTTAAGCAATAATAACTCTGATGAAAACTAATATTTAAAGTCCAGACATATTATTAGAGCACCTGGGAAAAAACAATGCATGAAAATTTACCACAGTAGCCATTAATTGACACTTATATTATTATATTAGCACAGAAATAATCAGGAAGCCTTAACTGGATTACTTTAGACTCTAGCTGTAGTGAGCTAAGAAAACCTCAAAATGCTTTCATAGTAATTAATAGCACAATCAGATAAAAACATTTATATCTAATGTTTCTTTTGGATACTATATGTTAGTGTAAGGACATCTGGTTGTTCTTTATTAATTCCTAAAAAAAATTGGTAAGGGTATGAAACTCCCAGATCTGAACCTACTTATACAACATTAAATAAGAATTTTTGTCTTTAAAAAAATGGGTGGGGGTATGGAGTCTGCCCCCATAGTGCCCTCCCTTGGAAGTGCACCTGCTTATACAACCTTAAAAAATAAAATTTTAATGTTTGAAAAAAATGGAAAGGGTCCAGATTCCCTAGATCTGCACCTGCTTATACAACAATAAATAATACAGGTATGCAATTATAAATTGGAAACATAGCATAATGTAAAGAAAAACCCAGTAAATTCACACTTTATTTAACACTTAAGTAGCTACAGAGTTGGTGGTGGAGACTGCAGAAAAGTTGCCTTCCCTATCATCAGCAGTTCACACTAAGTGACAGTGGCAGATAGCTTTGTTTAGTGGCAATGGTAATTGAACCAAGGACCTTCAAATCATGAAGCACCCCCTCTCCATTATGTAATTTGCACTTAACAGCAAACATAATAGCAATATTTCAAATAATTGGATAATGGAATACTCAAAAACCCTAATTTTGATTAGTTGATTATATTCGTGATGATCCATTCAATTGTAACTTCAATTAATCAATTATTGGAATACTAATTTCAATAAGATGATTATTGTTGTGATATTAATAATTTTAATCCTTATTTTGGTAAATTGATCAGTTTATGTGATACAAATCAATATAATTGCAGCTCATGTGGCACAGTAGATGTAAAATGGTACTGCAAACAATACACTCCCACACTTCAGTCTTAAAAATAGCCCACTAAAAAGAAGTTTAAGTAAACTTAGTTTCCTTATTTAAGTTACTGTAAAGTAAGAAAACTTCAGTTTTGTTTTTCTGCCAGCAGGTGGAAAAGCATCACCTTCAACCAAATGCACCAGCATAATAGATTGGAAGATAAATACTAGAAACCGTTTTGTAGTAAAATCTAATGATTTAAATAACATTAAAGGACAAAATGAGACCTTTTCCATTTAGGCCATCCTATCCACTAAATTAAACACTAGAAAACTTATACCCAGCCCTTGTCAATCAAATGTTTATCAAGCTTTTCCTTAAATTAAACATATTTACCATATCTGAGGGCAACCTGTTCCAAAGGTCAACCATCATGTTATTAAAATAAAGCTAATTTATATTTGTCCCCTTGTCTTACCATTCACACCATTAAATACAAAAAAAAAGATAAAGTACCAACGCTATCTTAAATACTTCAATCAAATCCCCTCTAATTCTTCTTTTTTCAAAGAGAAAATAAGTTCAGAGATCTTAAAACTTTGCCTCATATGACAATCTTTCCATCCTAAACATCACTCTAATTAACCCTGTCTAACAATTCAATGTCCTTTCTAATGTAAGGAGCCCAAGACTGAACACAATACTCCAAATGTGGCCTAACCAGTGACATATACAATGAAATTATGGCCTTATTATTATAGTATTTCACTGAATAAGAGTGAGTATTATTCAGACTGAAATATGAAATAGTGAAGACTGTATAGGCTTCTATGATAGTAAAATACATTGAACTGAGACCTTCATGTGAATGTGTTTTGTGGTTATAAGAAAGCATGAATGAAAATGTGCATATTAATAATAACTGATTAAGGGATACTGTTATTATTAATTTATCAATTACTATTTGTTTTCTTAGACATTGACTAAAGTCAGTGCAATAGAATAAAAGATAAATACTAGATACCATTTTGTAGTGAAGTGTAACACTCATAAAATTCTATACATTTGTCTGATTACAAAACCCAAAAATGTGTGTGTTTTACATGGATTGACTTTTTCCCCTCATTTTAAGCATGTAACACTCATAGGTAATAATTTTATTGATGAATCAATTAAAACACTCAGTTCTATACAGGGTATACTTAACAGAAGTACCTAAGCTCAACTTTGTCAGTCATGAACATCACAATAAAAAAACCGGTGAACACATTTAAAAGAAAGAATTTTATCAAAAATAAGCCCATAATTTCAATTTTTTGGGATTACCTTGTATTCTCAATTCAATAATAATTTGTTGTGCTTGAACAATGCTTCACTGAAAATGGTATTCTCTTCTGTCTACAACAGTAATTTAACAAACAATTTCGCTTCAGTATTATAAATTTTCTTGGTTATAATGTATATTTCATACATACTACATGTATTAGTAAAATGAGGACTAAATTTTTTAACATTTATTTCACAGCTGGTTTCAGATTCTTTTAAAGATTTTCATAGCACTAGTATTAGTTGAAAATATTTTTTTACGAGTGTATCTTTATGCTGTAACATGGTTAACATAAAACATGCTTAAAAGAAAGTAGGCTTCATATTTCCATGACTAAATATTAATTAAAGTGTAAGAGCTACAGTAAAAATATTGTAAAGTAATAATACCAATGTTTTTGTAAGGTTTCTAATGTTTTACAAATAAAGACATATTTGGCACATCATTTTGAAACTATGAACTTGGAAAAGAAATGATTAGAAGAAACTTTAAATTACTGTATTGTGCACAGATTGTTTAAGTGAGTAACAAGATCATTTTTCAATTAAAATATGATTATTTGTATAAAATAATTAGATATAATGACCTAGCAATGATGGAAAAAAAATTACAGAAATGTATTTTAGATCAGTTAAAATGGAACTGAATAACTAATAACTATTAAATATATAAATAAATTTTTTGCATCATGTCTACAAATCAAGTCAGGAAAAAAAAGCATATGGTACTTTAAAATAGCAGCACCATATTGTTATATAAACTATAATTTTAAGATATAATACACTTGCTTAAAGAAAACTTTAAAACTTTGAGATCAAATATTACTGTAATGATAGCTCTTCTGCACATTTTTATTGTATTCAATGGAAACCAATATTACATTCAATTCTAATATTCACTTTTTAACTTGATCTGAATGTTTTCAACTTACAAAAACCTTAATTAGCGGCATTAAATATGTAAAACATTTTATATGTTGCTGATACATGTTGTATTATTTCAGTATGAAAACAATTCAATAGAAAACTTACACTGAAGATCATATATTGCCATTTCATAAAACTTAGAAACCAACTTCATATAGTAAAAAGATTGTTTCAGTTATACTTCCTAATACACCAATATCACCTAACTAGCACCAATGTATGCAAAAATTGCATATTTCCAATGATACAGTACTACAACACAAATAAAACTGCACATACTTCCACATCATGCATACTTACAATTAGTAATAGATCATGCTAAGGCATATCACACTTAAGGGAATGAGAATATATATATATATATAATCTAAATCTTCCTTCCTAGGCCTAAATCTTTCACAGGGTGCAAACAACATACAAAATATTACAATTTTTTGTCTGTACTAGCAAGTGCATACAATCAAGTGTCATATAAGATAAATCTACAAAGTATACAATTTAGGAAATTATGTCACTTATAAAAGTGTAGTACATGATGAACAAATTACAGCAAAATAAAATTTCAACCTTGCATTCATTTCAGAATCAAGAAGTAATTTTTAGTGATAACCTATGTCATTAAAAAGGATTCAGGTTTAAAATTTATGTACTCTATTTAAAAATTGCAATTTCTGAAATGACTAGCCAATTTTTCTGGGTCATGGTAACTTTGATCCTTACACACTGAGTAAGGAAGTTACTTAGAGTAACATTTACAATTCCTTTTTCAAAACCTGCAACAGGCACAAAGTTTTCACACTCTGCTTTGTAATCTGAAACTAAATTAATAAAATGTGGACTAACCTGTAGAACACCATTGACTAGAATATCATTGACATGATCATTAGAACCAGACATGATGTATATTTTGGTAACATTCTGAGGTTCATGAAAAATTATGTCTAAAGTATCATTGGCCTTTGGAGCCATAGCCCAGAAATACCCATATGATAATCCATATGCCATTTCAGGATAGTAAGTTTCATACGTCTTCATTGAAGTAACTAAATCTGCCTCTGGATTTACAACTTGATATTTTCGGATTGATGCAGAATATTTCTTATCCTTTAGTTTCTGAACTTTCCCATCAAGAGAAGAATGTATTCCAACATGCTGGAAGAGACTTGGAACACGACGAGTAATAACAGTTCTACTTGGCACCATAAGATCAATGTACTGTAAAATCAACAAGTCCACTGGTTTTTCAGAATAAAAAAGCATCAAAAAACTTACAAGCCTCTCTAAATCTGAAGATTTTAAGAGTCTTCCAATAATAAGAAAGCCTGTAAATGACAAAGAAACCCAATCTTTCTTTTGTATCTTTATGAATTCTTGAATGGCCTTTACATAATGAGGAGCACACTCTACATCATCCTCTAAAATTAGGTAATATTCAGACAGGGTCATTCCATAACTCAATGAAAATGCAAAATCAACAACTTGCTTAGCACGCCATCTGACACGTGAGTCAGGATCATTAAAGGTATGGCGTAAGTTTTCAAAAGATGGATAAATATCTGGCACAGTTTCAATAATATGTAAAAACCCTGAATCTATGTACTTTTTGTACTGACTTGATAACCATTTGGCTCGATACATTCGGACACTCGAATCAGAATCAGCCAATAGCACTACAACTGTTATTTGTCTTTGTTCTTCAGCAGTAGATCGATTTATGAGAGAATTTAATGTGGAGCTTATATAATTTCCTTTTTTTCGAGCCACACTGGGGATACCTATAGTCAAGAACTTCTTTTGTGGTTCATCTCTTCCTACAATTTTGGCATTTTGAACAGCAGTAAGTAGGTGATGCACTGGAAGTCCTACTGGAATAACTTTTGGGATGTACTTTGGTTTTAAAGTCTACATAAATTAAAATAAAAAAGCATGTTACAATGAATAGAATCAGAGTTTTAGGAATTAGCATTTTTCATTCACTTTTGAAGTATATTTTTTAAAAACATCACTACTACAAAAAATTGTACATCTTTATTATTATTACATATTCTACAAAATATAGGGAATAATATGCACACCTTTCAAAGAAATTATTTCAAAAACTAGACTACAAATGGTTTTTACAATCACATATTGAGAAACAGTTTTTCTTCTGTGAAAAATCTAAGTTGCAGTTTATTTTCTAAATGTTTTTATTACAATTACATATGTAATATTCCTCATTTTTGGATCATGAATTTTTTTTCATTAAAAGTATATAAATTCCTTTATTCATCTCTTATACCCAAGCAAATTTACCAAAATTAGAAACCATAAGTACGTAAAAAATTAGGTAGGTAAGAAGCATAATTTATGTAAATGTTACACATTAATATTTCCAAGTAGTAACTTTAACACACAAATATTTCAATCTTAAATTAAACACATACTTCAGCATATATACGACTGTTTGATGTTATGTACGATGCATGTATTCAGTTGTACACCCTACCTGAGTACCTTCACTGGAGCAAATCCTAACAGTTTCACGTATCATTGATTCACAACTACCATTTATGGAACTAGAAGGGAGCATCTGTGGAACTAAAAAATATATACATTTTTTTATATTATTATCACTATAAACAACCTTTTCATGTCATATTAAAATATTTTCTTTTCAAAAAAGTGTCACATACCAAACTCCTAAAATAAATCTGATATTTTAATATAAAAACCACAACATACCAAAGTTTTCTCCAAAACTTTTCTTTGTACATTAGAAAGTAAAAGTCAACTGTATCTTCATACTAACAAGAAATTATGGGAAAAATTTAAGAATCTGATTAAAAACTATTATTTGGTGCTTCATAACTTAAAAAATAAAGTAAGAAGTCAATCACTCTACCACAGACATCACTTAACTGTCCAAACAACCAACAACCTCAGTTACTTATAGTTCTTTTTTTTTCCAAACATATATATACATATATAAAACCTTTAAACATATTTCTATCAAAAGCACACACGACGTCCTTACATGGATCATTTCACAAGTTCAAGAAAGTATTACTTTTACATAAGAAAAATGATAGATTTGGACTTTCAAGGCTTAAATTTATCATTCTTATCATTTAGATTCTTATACTGAAGCTTATCAATCTAACACTCAAATTCAACACTCACAGAAAGTTTATCTAAGGCTATAACAATTCTTAAAACCTGAATTATGCTACCTCTACTTCTAGGCTCTAGTAAAAACATGACAGAATCCTTCAGCTTCTTTGTGTGCCATTCACTATTCTTTGGAGACTTAAATTTTATTACAATATATGGAAAGATTAAAAATAATAATAAAAAAGATGCCTCTAGTAAAAACATGACAGAATCCTTCAGCTTCTTTGTGTGCCATTCACTATTCTTTGGAGACTTAAATTTTATTACAATATAAAAAATGGAAAGATTAAAAATAATAATAAAAAAGATGCCTGAAATGAATCGTTCAATTATTTTTTAATTACAATTTATATGTTTGAAAACTTATGGCCACCATCTAACAGTAATTATGTTACTTATACAAGCAGTTTCAGTGAAATTCAATGTAAAACTTAGAATGATAGATAATTATAAGCAAATGTGATATCCAAGTACAGTAAGAAATGTTCAAATAAACATGTTTAGTTTCAGACAGGAAAATGGGAAGATTTAAATGACTTTTGAGATGATAAATACATCAAGTTCTAATTATTAAACCACATGAAAAATAAGCCATTCAGCACATTTATGTCTCCTCTACACCAATAATCAACTTAAACACAGAAATCAGCTAAATATAGTTTTTCTGAAGGAAGCAAAACAAAACTGCACATTCTAACCTAATGATGCCTTTTCTGTTTCACACAAGTTTACCATAGTCTTTTTGCTCTTTAGTTCAATATTTCAGTAAAGCAATTCTAGAATTCTATATATTATTTCTTTATTAAAGTTAAAGACACAACTGAAAACTTTGTTTTATGAACAAGCATAACTAAATTCTTTTCCTGTTTACTTTTACATATATTATAATGGGTTCCAAAACATAATATTTCTGTTGGAAAGCAAATTTCACCAATATTATCTTCTTTTTTTCTAATATTGATCGTAATGTTGTGGCAATTGAATATCCTAAGATATAAACTAATTAATAATTTCTAGTAATAGGATATAATAATTAGTAACTAAATAATAAGAAAAAGGTGATAGTATAGACTTCTAAATAACAACAAGATTCTTTTTTCTTACTTAAAAATGACCAAAAACAATGCTTATAACATACAGTTTCATTAGTTCCTCCTTACAAATGTATCTTTACAAGTAAAATCGACATTTTGGGTTGAAATGTTCCATACGTGTCTATCTGTAGTGTTTACTACAGTGACAAATAACAATAATAGTTATAAGAGTGAGTACTGACAATGAACAGAATATTCTATTTTTTTTCTCTCCTTTATCAATTTCTTTGACCGGTTTCATGGCTTCAAAAGTCACTCTTCAGGATATACTTTTACTGAAAATCTATAACAAAAACATTCAAATACTGTTTTTAAACTAAACATAAATTAATTAAATATGTATATTTTCAAAATGTACAAACATATAATACTTTCCATATATAAATTCAGTATATTACATATGCTCAAAAATAAATAAATTAGTTAAAGTTTATCCGATATTTTATTTTTAAATTAAAATTTTATTCTAATTATACTTTCTCCCAATATTATAGAAATGCAATTTATTACATAATTTCATACCTTTTACTTACTTTGTCTTTTCTTTAAGTCTTAATAGTAGTTTTCACAATTCCTACTGACTTTACACAACCAGTTATTTCTGCCCTCTTATTCTTGCCTATTTAATATGGTGCCAAAAAAGTATGTGTTTTTGAAAAACAATCTTTTATGTTTTACATTACATGCCCAAAAAGGGACAATTGAAGGTATTCTCAGTTGTGAAAGAAAGAACTGTGTTTATATAATTAAGGTTACATGAGAACTACCAAAACAATAAAGAACAATAATAAAGAAATTTTGTTTTTCATTAACAATTCATTTAATTGCAATTCTAAGAACATAATATACCTTTTAAAATGTGTAAATTGGGGTGAATACTGTATTAGTAAAACAGATAATTTAAAAATTCTAAAAAAACATTTTTATGTTTTCCATGTAATGTAGACCATAAAAGACTTTTTTTTTAATTTTTGTTAAATTATTTTGGTATTACTTTAAATAGATAGAATTGAGAGGACAAAAGTAACTGGTTGGGTAAAGACAGTAGGAATTATGAACCCATGAAAAGTGTTACCAAGACTTACAGAAAAATTGTTTTGTTTTTGAATTTCGTGCAAAGCTACACGAGGGCTATCTGCGCTAGCCGTCCCTAATTTAGCAGTGTAAGACTAGAGGGAAGGCAGCTAGTTATCACCACCCACCGCCAACTCTTGGGCTACTCTTTTACCAACGAATAGTGGGATTGACTGTCACATTATAACGCCCCCACGGCTGAAAGGGCGAGCATGTTTGGTGGGATGGGGATTGCGAGTCGAGTGCCTTAACCACCTGGCCATGCCAGGCCCCACAGAAAAATAAAGTAAGTACAATGTATGAAATTATGGAATAAATAAATTGCATTCCTATAATAGCAAGAAAAACTATAATTAGAAAAAAATATTTTAATTTAAAAGGAAAGTATATCACATAAACTTTAATTTTATTTATTTTTGAGCATTTTTAATATACTTAATTCAGACACGGAGTGTATTGTTTGTACATTTTGAAAATATACATATTTAATTAATTTATGTTTAGCTGAAAAAGAGTATTTGAATGTTATTGTTATAGATTTTCAGTAAAAGTATATCCTGAAGAGTGACCTTTGAAACCATGAAACTGGTTAAAGAAATAAATAAAAAAATAGAATAGTCTGTTATTCCAGTGTTTTATTTGTATCTACAGGTGAACCTTATTGGTGATTTGGTTATATATATATATATATATTGAAATTTATAGAATTAACTCGGTGTAAAAAACTATATTTTATACATTTATTACAATAAAATACCTTACATGCTTTAAAGTTTGTTAACATTTAAAATAATTACAAGTTTGTTTTTTATTCAATCAGCATCCTCATCACCCCTTCTAGTTGTCTGTTCCACATGCTATATTTTAAACATAAACATGTTTTTATTCAAATGACCTTCTCATCACCCTTCTAGCCATCTTTTCCACCCACTTTATTTTAAACATAATCATTAAAGTACTAACTACACTGTCTGCAATTTCATAGAACACTGACACATGTCGAAGATACATATCAACATTCATAGAACACAAAGGTTGTTGCAGCTTCATTTCATCAAAATAAGACAAACTAAAGTTTTCAGCACAATGCAGAAGCTAATTCAGATACATACACATGTACCACTTACCCTGTGCTTTTATATTCATTTGTAAACAAAATTTTCAGCATTATATACAATGTACAAGCCTGTATATCTCCCATAAAAACCTGACAAAAGTATAATTTTTAATTAACAAAACATAACTGATTCTTCAGATAAATACACAAAATACTGGTTCTTACTGTAAAACCCACATAACAATATAATTCTCACATAAAAGACAAGTTTTTCACATAGCACTACATAACAAAACGATACCATGTAAAGCTTAGTTTCCAGAACTTCACATATGAGACACGTACTGATAACATATTTAAATTACATACATGTATACGAGTCACATCCCAAAGGCACCTAAACTTGCTTGTACTTTTGGTGAAGGTGCTCTAGACTCTTATCCAGTTCTTCTATTTCCTTGTTCTTCTCTGCCACAGCCTTCCAGAAATAATTCGACTTGGCTAATAGAGTGAGGTCTTGTTTGTTCTCAGCTATTTGGGCGAGCTCATCGGCTTACTTCTTTAGGATGTCTACAGTGCTAACAAGCCTTTCCTTCTTCTTCCTTGTTGATTTGATTTCATCTTGAATTACCTTCCACTTCAAGTTAGCTTTTCTTGTGCTTCATCTTTTTCTTGTCCTGTAAATACTAACTATACCTCACATGCCCTGCCCTCACATTAGTCATAACAAATTTAGTGATGAGGATTTGACTAATTTCACAACCCAAAGATGACACACTGTCATACACCAAATGCTGAGCAACATCTTTTCTTTCATGTTCTCAACCAGCATCTCCTCGTTGACAGAGAAGCCATGTCCTATGTCTGCCTGGCCATGAGAGATAGTTAGCAGGAGTCTATCACTCAGCATCTCGTGAAAGAATACATCCACTCAGTCTAATACTCCAGATCCAAAATTCTTGAATTCGTACTTGTCTCTTGGTACTTTTCACATTAATGATTTGAACTGGCTACTTATGACTTCACACTGTGAGGCAGTTCACCACTTAGCATTCAGTAGGATTTAAAGCATTGCATGAAATTTGGTAGCTATGTCATTTGGGTGAACAACCATGTAGTGAAGGTCCAGTGACTTCAACTTATTGACGACTGGATATCGAAAAAAACACCTTTTCATAATTTTGGATGTTGTAACCACCATA